GGGTTTTTTTTTTGACTTGTGGGGGAAACCGGAGCACCTGGAGGAAACCCACGCTAACACAGGGAGAACATGCAGACCCCACACAGAAATTATCTCTATCATCAATAACTTAAAATCATAATGACCCATGTAGTAATGTTTAATGGTTTGTGTTTATAGAGTTCTGCAGACACCGCTACTGCTGTCAGACAGCCGGTTGCACCTGTTCTTGCAATCACAGTTGAGCATTGCAAAAATGGATGCATGTGCACAGGGACACACACATTACACCGTTGCACAGGCAATCCAGCGATGTGGCGGCGAAGCACGTTTCCCTGTGGAGGAACAACATCAAGAAGACAGCAAAACATGCTGCGACTCAGACTGTGACAGGTGTGTACCTGCCTCGCTGTATGTTCTTTGGATTATGTAAATTGCTTGACTTGGAAGGATTTGACATGTAAAATATTTTTAAATACACAAGGGTAGAAACAAGACGCATAGATCTATGGACAAAGATTAATAGATCACTTGGAAATTGCAAAATGTAAACTCACAATAATAAAAAAAGATATTACAGTTTATAATGTGAGACTAAAAGATGGTAACTCGCAATTAGCAAAAGAAAATTGCAATTTGTAAGTTGTGCACTTGCATTAATGTTTGTATTACTAATCAACTTTTTAATGTCCACGTCTCATAATTTATCAGTCTGAATATATTCCACTAATAACCATAAAAATAAACATTCATCAGCTGATACTTGTATACTTGTATGGCTGGTTATATGTTCTGTTTTTTTTTTTTATTCAATGGTGGAAACGAGCTTCAATACCCCACATAAAAGATGAACATGATGAGAGGCATGTTGTGCCATTAATAAAAACAGACAGGCATTTTAATGTTGTTTAGAACAAATATAAACACTGCATTTAATACTTTTTAAATGTGTAATTTGTTTTTCAGCACAACATCTTCTGGCTTAGGCTGCAGTATTGAACCTGCCACTCTTGTTGAACAAGATTTGTCACATAATGAGAGGTTTGCCCATGAATTTCAAGCCACAAACCCCGAGGCAGAGCTTTGTAGCAGCCTGTCTTCATCGCCTCATGGCCATTCAGTTATATGAACCCAAGAGATGTATGTAAAACACACAGATACTCTTTCAAAAAGAGACCCAATTGCTGCTTAGAACCTCCAAAGTTATATTTGGATGGATAATTAGGGAAAAAAGATATTGTTTGTTTTATTGAGTGTCCTTATCGGTATTTTAAAAATATAATCATATATTTTCTTTACTTAAATATCAATGGTTGCTGTAATACATTGTCCTCCATTAAAAAAAAGTCTGACCTGGATTAAAAAAAAGATGACTAGTGTATAATGTAAGCAAGTGAATGATAGACTGAATTATAAATGTTTTTTATGACACTGCCTTTAAGGAGTCCACTGGGTTCAATGTGTGCTTGTCAAAGAAGCATTTTAAACCACTTTAGCATTTTCTTCTGTACAGATGTGTTTTTGTTCATTAGATTTTTAAAATAATTTCAGTAAGAGCCTTCTTAAGAATTCTTATTTTGTCAGCATTGATGAAAATGGATGTTGCCGACTGAATATGTTTTTTTAGTTCATTTTTATTGTGATTTTGTGTATGTTAAATTAATAAATAACCTTTTTTTTAAATCCCAGTTGTAAACAGTATTTGTTTTTGACAATCAGTGATATGAAAAACACAAATTTGACTTTGGATTCTTATGTTGTTTATGTATGTTGTCTATGTTTGTTATGCATGTTTGTAGGAATAGTCAAAT